CCATTTCTCAATCTATTCCTACTCTGCTAGCCAATGCCAAGAAAGCAACCCCATAAAACATCATCCCAGAGGTCTCCTTCTCTGACTATGCGTCAGAGCTACTTGTGAGAGCATCTACAAGCCTACCTTGGGTTTCTGTTCCTCAGAAGCATGAAGGACATCCCAGGCAGGATTCAGTTCAAGCTCTCCTGGTCCTGGCACCCATGGGGAGTCTGTCCCCAAAGATGGGCTAAATCTCTCTCTGGGGAGGTCTCTCTTTACCCCCACCAAATACAAAGGGACCTGGGCTGGAAGGGTTAGAGACCTGAGGTCTATACAGCGAAAGAGAACCCAATCTTCTCTAAGTGTGGCAATTGCTGCAGCTTTAAAATTGCTGCAAGTTTAAAATACTTGACGATTTCCTAGTCTTGTTTTCTTTCTTTTTCATTTGGAAAATTAAACTGAGCTGAAATAAAACCTTTCCAGGGGAACGTGTGGATTTCATCAAGATTTTGCAAAAAGAAAAGGATTTTGTTTGGGTAAGAACGTGGCATTTCTGGGGGCTGTTTTGGTTTGTTTTCTAATAGGAACTCCAGCCTCCCAAGGATGGTGTCTGAGATGTACAAGAAGCGAGACAGACCCCCCCCAAATTCCTCATCCTGCAACAATTTGGTGCTCCCTCTCACCTTGGGTGTCCCCTTGGCCATCTCCCCGCTCAGAAGTGGACCTCCTGCGCAAGGCACAGGCGGTGGCTGGGGACAAGAGACATTTCATAACGGCCAGGCCAATACGCAGGAACGCCGCTGTATTTATATCCCCGGCTGAGCAGGGAGGAGGTCACCAGCCTCTGGCAGGACGAGCCACTAATAAATCTATGGGGGTTTTTTTAATGCTGTGGAGCTCTTTTCATTTTTCTTTCCGTGTTATATCCTTCAGGGAAATTTGAGGGTGGCCAGCACACATCTAGGGCAGCAAAGCTTGTTTCGTATTACACGTTCCCATTTTTAGTGGGAAGAAATGCCGCTAAAGACCCTACCAGAAGCACATAAAACCAACCAAAACACAACAGATCCCTTGCAGAGTCATCCGCAATGAACGGCTTCGTTTAATAACCTTGCAAAATACCAATGAATTTAAACTGCCATGTGGAGAAGACAGCACCAAAAGGTTTTGGCAACGAAACCCTCATTAAAAAGAACCCCCTCTTCCGGCTGCATCAGCCTTGGAAAGCTCCTGAGCCTGGGGATCCACTGATTTTATGACAACCAGGAGACCGAAAACTTGGCAATTCAAAGGGGAAAGGGTTTAGCAAGACTGCCACAAAGTCCGGCTTTGTGTTCGTTACGCAAGCATCTATTTCACTCCGATGATGAACGAATGCTTAGCTTAAAAGACAGCTTTATTCAGAAGATTTAAAAACCCGCAGCTCTTTGGAGGCACAGCATTCAGAATAAACATCTCGGCCAACTGAAAAGCCATGAAGTCAAAATGAAGGGCGAGATACTATTTTTCATCTTCAATGTGTGCTCGGAAATGGGTGAGCAAGAGATTTGTTCAGGCCTTTTTCATAAAAACCGTGAAAAAACGCACGGTCCTGATTTCAGAAATGCTTTCCCCATCAGGTTCAGACACTGCCAGTTCTTGCGCTTGACCTACGTGACCACAACCCTTAAAGAAAACGCTCTGATAACACAGTGCAGCCTAAAAAAATCCACAGCTAATAAATCATGTTCTGATCATAGAATGGTTTGGCTTGGAAGGGACCTTCAGTGATCATCCAGTCCAATCCCCTGCCACGGGCAGGGCCATCTTCCACTACGTGAGGTTGCTCAGAGTCCAACCTGACCTTGAACACTTCCAACGATGGGGCCTTCACATCTTCTCTGAGCAACAAGATCTCAAGATTGCTATTAAATAAGAGATTTCCTTTTCTTAGACTACCTTTCACTTCACTCACTCCGGATAAGAGTTACATTTTGAAACTGCTACTTAGCCCTTGGGTTTCTACCACCCTTTGTCATGCCAAGAGGCTCCCATCCCCCAGGTAATTTGGCTGAAAGCAGAGAACTTAACCACGCTTTAAAAACTCCAGGGCGCTTGGTCCTTCCAAAGGACTGGTTTCAGTAAAGTACTTAAATGTAGGCTTGACTTCAGTTAAATTATTTCCTGAGCGGGGGCCTAAGAAAAGTTTTCAACTCCAAAAAGAAAAAAAGACTTCTATAAAGGTTTCTGAGTTTGGGCTCGAAAGGATAAAAAAGCAAGTGATCGATTTAGCAGAGCAACTCAAATATTCCTCATCAAGCACAGAAGCTCGTTAGCCTGTGCTGTGGTGAAGACAACGCCTTGTGGAGTAGGAATTACTCCATGGCTCCTGTTTGGGAGTAACTTCTCTGACTTAAAAAACAGTGGAAGGTCCACTTCTTCTGGAATAAGAAATGTCCTTGCTGGAAGTTATTTTCCGTGATGAATTTACATTCTGTCTAAATTTACATGAATCTTCTACCACTGGCAGCCCTTGGTTTTAAGTAATTCCCCCATCTTCCCACCTCACGTAGATGAGGTGTCCAATGACAAGTGGTGGACAGGGCAAGGCTGGGTTTGTATTCATGCCACCCACATGCTCTGATGGCTTCCTCCTCTCCAACCCTCTCTGGCCAGGCAGGAAAGTCCTGGATGTGTGTGTGTCCTCCTCCATGCAGACCTTTCTCTGCATCCACACAGCAACATAACCAAAAGTTCCAGGCTGGGTACGTGTTTGGCCAAGAGACAACAGTGGGAATCAGAGAGGAGGGAGGTGTGGAGAGATGGGAGACAGCAGGGAAGGGAAGGAGCTTGGCAGTCGAGTCATGGGGTTTTGTCAAAAATAATCATGGCTAATGGAGGAATTCAAACGAGAAATGGCTTTGTGGGTGATAAAGGGAAGCCTCCTTCCAGTGAGAGGAGCAGAAGGAATGAGGGACACACTTGCTTGGAAAGGTAAGTGATGTAGAGGACATCGTTGGCTGAGCTGAAAGAGCAGTAAGGCTCTGGACACCAAGAAGGAATGGAGTGGTAGTTGTTAATAAAGACAAGTAGCCTGGGCTGGATGTGAGCGAGAGGGAGGTGAAGAGGGGAATGACACAAAGCTGTGGACTGGGAACATTACTTTTGTGCCAGCTCTCCAGAAGGATGGAGGAGAATTTGCCAAGGTTGGAGATGGCAGAGAGAGCAGGGTGCCAGGGCAGGGGCTGAGCTATGGAGGATGGTTCAGAGGAACTGCAAAGGAGGATGCAAAAGAGCATATGGCTGGTGTGAAAAATGAAGAGCTCCCTGAAAAATAAAGCACCTTGTATCTCCAAGTAAGGTTTCCCAGAGGTAGATGGGGAATAGTGGAGAAGGGAATACAGGACAGACCCTGGATGAGCTTTCACAGAAAGCTGGAAAAGGCAGATGGCAAATATGTCCTCCCAGAGATAGATGGGGAATAGTGGAGAAGGGAAAAGAAGTGGAAAGCTGGAAAAGGCAGATGGCAAATATGTCCCAATGGACATGCTGCAGCAGAGGTAGAAAACAACTGGTCAAACTGGGAAAGCCAAAGGAAAACAAGATTTTATGGAGAAGAGTGCAGCTGGTGCTGTCAAAGATAACCAGCACACCAAGGCTAAGGCAGAAGAGTTCCTGAGTTTGGCCAGGAAAAGCTTGCCGCATCTTGGCATTACTGATGGATGAAAAGCTGGCCATGAGCCGGCCATGGGTGCTGGCAGCCCAGAAGCCAACCCTACCTTGGGCTGCATCCCCAGCAGCGTGGCCAGCGGGGCGAGGGAGGGGATTCTGCCCCTCTGCTCTGCTCTGGGGAGACCTCCCCTGGAGCCCTGCGTCCAGCTCTGGAGCCCTCAGCACAAGGAGGACATGGACCTGTTGGAGCGGGGCCAGAGGAGGGCTACTAAAATGCTGCGAGGGCTGGAGCCCCTCTGCTCTGAGGCCAGGCTGGGAGAGTTGGGGGTGTTCAGCCTGGAGAAGAGAAGGCTGCGGGCAGAGCTGAGTGCGGCCGGTCAGGGCTTCAAGGGGGCCCAGAGGAAAGGGGGGGACAAGCTTTTTAGTAGGGCCAGCTGGGACAGGACAAGGGGGGATGGCTTTAAACTGAAGCAGGGTAGGTTTAGACTGGATCTAAGGAAGAAATTCTTTACGCTGAGGGTGGTGAAACCCTGTCAGGGGTTGCCCAGAGAGGGGGTGGAGGCCCCATCCCTGGGAACATTCCAGGCCAGGTTGGACGGGGCTGTGAGCAACCTGATGTGGTTCAAGGTGTCCCTGCTCCTGCAGGGGGTTGGGCTGGATGGCCTCTAGGGGTCCCTTCCAATCCAAAACATTCTGTGATTCTATGATTCTATCTTTGGAAGAGCCATTTTAGGGAGGTGTGAAGGGCAGAAGAAGGACAGAAGAAGACACTAGGACAGATCCAGAGTCTATCAGTGCCACAGGAAAGCAAGGGACAGTAAAGACACAGCATGGGAGATCCAGACACCAAACAGTACACGGTTGCTGACATTTCGGCATCTCTGACATGGAAGGAGAAGGACAAGCAGGGGGAAGGCAATCTCAGGGAGATAGCATCTGGTATTCAGAAAATATTAAAAGCCATCAACGTGCAGGTATCACAGCGGTGAGGACCGTAAAATTCCCGGGATTAGCGTTAGGATATAATTCATGGCTCTAAAGTACTTTGCAACGTAGACAAACATTCCCAATGGAGGGCATGAAGTTAGGAAGGGAAGAGCTTAACACAGGCCCCTTCACTGGAATATTTGCTGACAAGCCCATGGCAACTGCTGGGGTTTGTAGACCGAGCAGCAAAAGGCAAACCCTCCTGCGTGCTTCAACACGCCCGATCTCATCTCCATGCACAGATTTTTATCTGTGATTTTTATCAGGGCTCTGAGCAACCTGATCTAGTTAGCGGTGTCCCTGCTCCTGCAGGGGGGTTGGACTAGATGACCTCTAGGGGTCCCTTCCAACCCAAAACACTTATGATTCTATGATTTTACCTGGGGCGTAGCCGGGGCTGCTGGTTGGATACATGTTTGGGTTGTAGGCTGGGGCAGCGGTGGGATAGCCCGTTGGGTAACCTGCAATGAGAAAAAAAAAAGAGAAATTACACTTTTGTCAACAGGGAGAGAGGACAGCATCCCTGGAAAGCAATGAGCAACCTGTGGGAGCAAAGACGCCATCGGCACAGCTGGGAGGTAAAGCACAGATGCATTCTCAGTTGGCCAGGGTATAGGAAGGACTATGACTGTGCTCTACAGCCTTACACGTGACATCATCAATATTTCATCTTTATTCCTCTTGAAAACGAGGATGATAACCAGAATGCAGAACGCAGGAATGTTCAATGTGCTCTGAAGAGAACGACCGAGAAAATACCCACACCGACTGCGGAATTCGGCTACGAAAAACCACCAGCACAGCGATATTTGAAAGGTTTTCCTTGGCTGCTTGCAGCCATCACAGCTTGATCATGGTAGCACTTCGCGTTCTAATAGCAGAGCTCAGCACCCAGCCCGAGTCCTCGGTGCTCAGCATTTCCATTAACCGGGGCTTCTTGCTAAAGGGAAGGTAGAGATGGGGCATGAAAACATGCCAGCCCTCATATTCACCCATGGCTGCACAACTGCCATCCCTGGGAGGGACCCGATTACCTGCCAGGCCACCTGGAAGGAACACGCACAGCAGCTCGTACCCTCTGAAGCTGCATGAAGTTTTAATGGGTGCTTTGGAAAAGATTGCAGAGCATCTTCAGTTTTCATCATCTTCACTCGGATCGGTCAGAGGGAGTTCAGGGGAAATCATCTAAGCAGTCATAGAATCATAGAATGTTTTGGGTTGGAAGGGACCCCTAGAGGTCATCTAGTCCAACCCCCAGTCAGCTGTGCGGAGGCTAGGAAATCACCTTGCATTGCAGACCCAAGTCCCTATGTGCATCGCGCAGATGCCTTGCACCAACCTCTTACGTCATTAGACGTTCCTGTCCACCATGAAGACCACAGAAGACAACCTCCGCACCTCACTCTGCTCCGTTTTGCTTTCGCTTACTGCCCCTACCTCCATTTCTTGGAAGGCTTCCCGACTGAGAACAGTAACACTCGAATAACTCCATCCCTTCTTACGTGCTCCTGCGTAAATCCCTCCAACAGGCTGAATGGGACGTTAATCTTCCTTTGCTGGCAGAGAGTTTGGCTTTGCTATGCTCCACCGGCACGGCTGCTGCCCCAGTTTATCTGTGCATCTCGTTGGCCATCGTCCCGGAGCAGAGCCAACCCAACGGCAGACAAAATGACCCTTGGAGAGTCTTTCCATGCCAAGCTCCACTGACGCTGTCTTCTGGTTGCCAGCAAAGGCTGGAAGGAGGTAATTAGCAGTCGATTCACACCCCAGCCTTTCTTCTTTCCACTTTATTAAATAAAAGCAAGGCTGGGTCTTTCCTCCCCCTTTCTGAGCCGCAAGACAAACACGGCGCAGTCTCTCCCTCCCGTGCCCCAAAGCTCACTGCTCTTCGACTACGTGCAGATTTCTACAACCTGGCACCCGGCACACGCAGCCTACTACTGTGGCAAAATTTTGAGGTTCATTTGAATAAATCTAATTCAACAATCATGACCACTGTACCGGAATAAACGCCTGTATGTTCTACCCTCTCATTTTCATCAGTGATATATTTGGCTTCTAAATCAGGTTAATTAAAAATTGCTGTAGTTAATGTTGGATAAGCAGCAGTTTAACAGATTTTTTTTTTTTTTTTTTTAGGCTACATAAAACTATGTTGTCATCGTACTCAGGAATATATACAGCCTTGCAGCAATCAAGAAGCTCCTTGGAAAGTTATTTGCAGATCCAGTGATTGCAAGCAGAACATTAATGATGAAGATCTTAAATCAGAAATATCCCTGCCTACTCTCCGCTTCATTAGAAGATAACCATTTCTTTTCCAGTACATTCATCACTCCAGGGTCCTCCCGTTGCCTGCTCGAGCATAATGATCCCGCTTTGCCTCCGGACCAAGAGGTCTTAAACCAACTCCAGCTCAATTTGGGGGTTGGACTAGATGACCTCTAGGGGTCCCTTCCAACCCAAAACATTCTATGATTCTATGACTCAATTCTTGACCACACCGAGTGCATTTTCCCTATAATTCTCTCAACCGCAATTCTACGTGGGGTTTTGCCTCCTCAGCACACAGTTTAGTAGCTGATGGCTGTGTGTGCCATGGTCTTGGGAAGTCCCTTGCTCGGCAGCTAGGGATGGGATCTAAGTGACAGCCTCTTGGGGCACCAAGAGGTTCTTCTGGTCTTTGCTGCTGGTTAATCCCTCCAAATAAGTCCTGAATTGCAGGCAGACCTGATTGCAGCCTTTCAGTGCTTAAAGGGAGCCTATAGGAAAGATGGGGACAAGCTTTTTAGTAGGGCCAGCTGTGACAGGACAAAGGGCGATGGTTTTAAACTAAATGAGGGTAGGTTTAGACTGGATCTAAGGAAGAAATCCTTTATGCTGAGGGTGGTGAAATCCTGGCAGGGGTTGCCCAGAGAGGGGGTGGAGGCCTCATCCCTGGGAACATTCCAGGCCAGGTTGGACGGGGCTGTGAGCAACCTGATGTGGTTAAAGGTGTCCCTGCTCCTGCAGGGGAGTTGGGCTGGGTGGCCTCTGGGGGTCCCTTCCCACCCAAAACATTCTATGATTCTATGAATCCCACAAACTGCTGCGCTAGTCCTTAATAATAATCCTTAACTAATAGTCCTTGAGTCAACAACCATGACAAACATAGTCCCGTGTGCCTACGTGCAGCAAATGTTTCATCTGTGCCCTATGAGATCTCACCAGCACTCACGTGCTATCAAATTCAGCAAAAAACCCTTCTCTTTTCCTTGGGCCAAAATTTCCAATGTTAGGTTTGTACATAAAAACCAAGCCTGAAATAAATCAGACCACTTGCAGACCACAGGAAAGCCGTGGCTTTGGGTAGAGCTCTTCCATCCATCCAGTTATTGAAAGACTTCACAGTTATTTCAGGTAGATGGAGACAACCCTGTATTTAGGTCTTCTGACTCTTTTGGGGGGGTTTAACTTCTGCTTGGCAGGACTGCACCTTGCTTACTGCGGTATCTTTTGTTGTTCTGAAAGAAAGTTATGGCCATTTTCAGAATAATTTCATTTCAGATAAATACTGTTTCTATCAAGGAAGCTTTAATAGCTTCGGATGCGAAAAGATGCAGCCAGCCCTGCTCTACTCTATCTTCCATTCTGATCTCATAAACTTTGATAAGTGCTGACCTCCAGCAAGAAAACTGATCCTTTCTATTTTAAGGGGAAAAGGAGATGGGAAAGGTGCAGGAAAATTAATGTGGTTTGCTTCTTTTCTGGACATACTGAAAGATAAGAAAGTAGCAGAATCTGGGGCAATTTGTGCCAGGGGAAACGTGCTTGAAAATTCCCAGCACTCAAAAGCCACTGGGTTTAAAAATACATGAGACATTTTTATACTTTATTGGTTTTTGAGCTGTCAGGATTTATGTCTGTTGGCTCTTCTTCATCCCCCAAATGACCACAAACAAGCTGCCTCAGGAAAGCAAAAGCTGCAGTCCCTGTGATCCCAGAATCCCAGAGTGGCAAGGGTTGGCAGGACCCTCGGGAGCTCACCCAGTGCCACCCCCCTGCCCAAGCAGGCTCACCCAGAGCAGGGGGCACAGGACAGCAGCCAG